TAGGGAGAGCGACCTGGCCCGCGCGCCCGGAGCAGAGGAAAATCGTGTTTGCACGCGCGGAGCGGGGAGTGGCGGCGGCGCAGAGAAAGAAAAGTTAAGCCGGCATCGACGTATGCGCGCCAAGTCCCACTACCGGCGGGAGCCGGCTCCTCGTGGCCGCCCCGCGACCCCGCCAAGGCCCCCGCCCGGCAAGCCCTCACCGTCCGACTCCTCCCGCTCGGCGCGCTCCCCGTAGTCCACCCAACTCAGACCCTCGAGGTTGTCATAGTCGCCGCGCCGCGGCCCGTCCACGGGCACCACAGTGAAGTGAGGCATCGCGCGCAATCAGTCTGCCGCACCCTCCCGGCCTGCCGCGCCCGCCGACCCCGCCGCCTGCCGGCTGTCCCCGCTGCTCCGGGCCGGTGCGCCCCGCCCGCTCACATTCCTCCCCGCTGCGCTCACTTCCTCCGCCCGCCCCCCGGGCCGCCCCTCGGAGGGCGGGGAGCAGGAGGGGCTCGTGCCGACTCCTCCCAGAGGGGGGCCTAGGTGGCGCGGGGACCCTGGGCAAGGAGTACTCCCCTGAGAGAAGGACCGATTCCTGTGTGGCTTTGGGTGAAAGGCTGCCCTCTCTGAGTCCCACCTACGTTACTCGTAAAATAGCGGAAAGGCGCTTTCACTCTTTGGGGTTTTCTGGGGGCTCGGTGAGATGGGGCGCCGGGTGCATTAGCTCTGAGCCCCGGATCTAGTGAGTGAACAGCATTTCTGTTACATAGAGAAGGGGATGGGTAGGCAGGACGGGTTCAAAACCTCAGGGACCAGCCCAAACCTGCACAGAGCCTCCAGACATCCCCTGATAACACACCCCATTAACATCATCAGTTTCCCGCTTTTCCGCCGTGCCCCTTCGCTGTAGCCTCTCCTATTGGAACCTTCTGGGAATGAATCCTTGCCTGGAGGCTGCAACTTTCTCCGTAGGAAGGAGCACCACGCCCGGCCCCAGCCCCATTTGCCACTTTGGGACAGCACACTGGGTGATTAGTCTAGTTCTTTCATTTTCTTTTCTTTTTTTTTTTTTTACTGTCTTACCTCCACAGGGTTCCTTCACCAGAGCCGTTTACTTCTTTGCTCCCCCCACACACTTTCTACTCCACTTCCTCAGATAACTTACGGGGGCTTTCCTTTAGCATCTTTATCTTTCTGGACCCTCCTGTCCACTTGCACCCTTCCCCTTCTATCAGAAAAACCCAGAGCCCATCTTCTTGTCTATCTCCATTCTTCTCCCTTCTGTGTCCCTAAGAACATCTGTCAACCTCAGGCTCTGCGCCTTCTGATTGCCGCCGCCTCTCACTTTCCAGCTCTGGAGCAGAATCTGAGTCCCATCGCCTTGCAGGGCGACCTTGATCCTACGGCTACTGATCCCTCCTCATGGCCATCGCGAGTGGCGCCTTTCGACTTGACCTTCCGCCCCTTATACCATCCTCGGCTACCTTCTAACTGGACCCTTCCCCTGCTCACTCCTCTCCTGCGCTCTCAGGAGAGGGTGAAAGAGCTCCTTTTGCTGAGAAACCCCTAGCTTGGCTCTTAGCTGACAAAGCCCTGCTCTAACCATCCCGCTTACCTCTACAGAAGCCTCCTACCCCACACCTCGTCCTCCTCCTGCCGCGCATCAGCCCTTCAAAATCTCACCTGCTGACTCAAGGATCTTCTAGACATCACCCACTGTTCCCTCTGGGGGGAACTGCCTCCCTAGGCTCTGCTCCCACCCTCACAGGCCAAACTCCTCCTTACCTACCACCCAGCCCCAGCCCCATTTGCCACTTTGGGACAGCCGCAAGGCTTTTCAAATACTCCCTCCACCCACCTCCTACACGGATTGCATTCCCCTGGGGCACGTTCCCATCATGGTACCCACTCCAGAAATGTGTTGGTGAGATCCTCTTATTTATGTTAGTCGTGTCAACTAGACTATGGACTTCACAAGGACAGGACCCTGTCAGTCCCATCACCCTTGTATCCCCAGGACCTGGTCCCAACTTTTGTGGTGATCTACCATTGAGTTACATCTTTTTTGAGACAAGGTCTCACTAAATAGCTCAGGCTGGCTGGCCTTAAACATATAATCCTCTGCTTCAGCCTCCTGAGTAGCTGAGAGTAGCTGAGATTATAGATGTAAACCACAACCCTTGGTTCATATATATATATATATATATATATATATATATACAAACACACACAAATATATATATATATATATTTGTAGTTGACACAATACCCTTATTTATTTATTTAATTTATTTATTTTAATAATTTTATCTTATTTATTTATATGTGGTACTGAGGATCAAAACCAGTGCCTCACACATGCTAAACAAGCGTGCTACCACGGTACTACAACCTCAGCCCCAATTTATTTATTTATTTTTTCTGTTGTTCTGAGGATTGAACCCAGGGCCTTGCATGTGTTAGGCAAGGGCTGTATTGCTGAACCACAACCCCAGCCCCCCAACTAATATTTTTAAAGTTGTTGATGGACCTTTATTTTATTCATTTATTTTATATGTGGTATTGAGAATTGAACCCAGTGCCTCACATATCAGAGGCAAGTTCTCTACCACTGAGCCACAATCCCAGCCCGTAACTCATTTTTTGAGTAAAGAATGAATAGGTAGCTGATCCTTGTGGCCCACACCTGTAATCCCAGAGGTTCAGGAGGCTGAGTCAGGAGGACCACAGGTTCTAAGCCAGCCTCAGCAACCTAGCAGGACTATGCAAACTAGTAAGAACTGTCTCAAAATAAAAAATAAAAAGGGGTGGGGATGTGGCTCAGTGGTTAAGTGGGTTCAATCCCTGGCACAAAAAAATATATATATATGAACGAATAGGTGCCCCATTGGTCCTCCCTAATGTTCTACAATGGTTTCCAATTTTGTCCCACACATCTGCAGCCTCAGAGTGGTCAGGTGCTGTGTGGAACAGACAGGTCACTATAGCCCAACCAATAACCTTAGAGGGAACTCTGGGGAACTTTGCAACTGGTAAACAACTTCATCCATATCATTGACTAACCAAGCAGCCTGTACCATCAGATTCCTCTCAGGAAAAATAACTTCACAGGCAAATTCTAAAGATATTTAAAGAGCTAGGCACAGTGGTACATGCCTGTAATCTATTAGGGAGACTGAGGCAGCAGGATCAAAATGTTCAGGCTGGCCTGGCCAATTTAGGAGGCTACTCAATTCCTTTGTGACATTCTCTGCTCAAAAAAAAAAAAAAAAAAAAGGGCTGGGGATGTGGCTCAAGCGGTAGCACGCTCACCTGGCATTGTCAAACAAAGATGTTTTGTCCGCCAATGACTAAAAAATAAATATTAAAAAGTTCTCTCTCTCTCTCTCTTTAAAAAAAAAATTTTTTTTTTTTTGGTGGGGGGAAACTGGGAATTGAACTCAGGGTAATTCAATAACTAAGCCACAACCCCAGCTCTATTTTCTATTTTATTTAGAAACAGGGTCTCACTGAGTAGCTTAGCACCTTGCTGTTTCTGAGGCTGGCTTTGAACTTGCGATCCTCCTGTCTCAGCCTCCCGAGCTGCTGGGATTACAGGTGTGCATCACTGCATCTGGCTCCCCTGTCTCAAAATTAAAAAAAAATAAAATAAAAAGGAGCAGGGATATAGCCAAGTGGTAGAGTACAAGCCTCAGACTGGTTTCAAGCCTCAGTCCCCCGCCCTTACAAAAAAAAGATATTTGGTGTGTACAGACATTAAAAAAAAAAAATCTATCAGGAAGATTTCTGGAGTACATGGATAAAATGTTTTAAATTAGGGCAGGTTCTGTAGTGCACACCTATAATCCTAGAGACATGGGAGGCTAAGATAGGAGGATCACAAGTTCAAGGACGACCTCAGCAACTTAGTGAGGCCCTAAGCAACTTAGTGAGATCTTATCTCAAAATAAAAATTAAGCAAAAAAGGGCTGGAGATGTGCTTAGTGGCAAAGCACCCCGGTGTTCAATCCCCAGTACCAAAAAATTTTTTAATTAGCATAATAAACATTTAAAAAGGTAAGTGAATATTAGCAACATGAAACAAAACATAAAAAGAGCATGCAGGAATACAAGGTATGAAAAATAGCATTATTTCATGAGGCTGCGGTTGTAGATCAGTGATAGAGCACTTGCCAGCATGTGTGACACACTGGGTTCAATCCTCAGCACCACATAAAAATAAATAAATAAAAGTATTGTGTCCATATACAACAAAAATTTTTTAAAAAGAAAAATAGCATTATTTCAGTGATCAACCTACATACAAATCACCCCCAAGACATGTTGACCTAAAACAACAATCAACAATATTTAGCACTGGAAATATAGCTCAGTGCTAGAGCCTAGCATGTGTGAAGACCTGGGTACCAACGCCCAGCACCAAAATTCAATAAATAAGTAAAGAAAATCAGAGGACCGTATCTGAAAAAGCTGACATATTTATAAATAATTTTTTTCCACTAATATCAAACAAGTTCCTGTTTATAAATACTACCAGCTTATGTCTGTAATCCCAGCAATTTGGGAGGCTGAGGCGGGAGGAACACAAGTTTGAGGCCTCAGCAACACAGCCAGACCCTGTCTTAAAATAAAAAACAAAAAGGTCTGGTGATATAGCTCAGTGATAAAGAGGTCCTGGGTTCAATCACCAGTACCAAACTAAACCAAACTAAACCAAATTATAAAAAATAAATAATATCAGATCAGCTTCTTAAACAAATTGAACCTTTCAGAGGAAGAGGGGAATCCACACACAGTAACACCCACTAAACCCAATTCCTTTGTGACATTCTCTGGGCTCAGGTTTTCAGCACAAGAAGAGTCCAGTGAGCAACTCTGTCCTTCCTGAGAAACAAGACTGGAGGTGAGTGGGAACCCCTCTCCTTAAGCAGCTGAATGTATAGGCCACAGGTCCCCTCACCAATCAAGAACCTGCCTGACCCTACACCCACCATGAAGAAAGGACACTCACACGTGGCTCCAAGTCTCAAATTTTATTTTCACCACATTCTGGGGACAGAATAACAAGGATTGGGACCTTGTGGAACTTTGCACAGTGATTTCTGGGGGATACTGGCCAGATCACCAAAGCCAGAGGATGAGGACTGGGAAGACAGCAAGACCCACAAGGCCTGGAATTGGATGTGGAGAAGCGTTTGAGGGCTTCTGCAGGTCTTGACTACTTGGCCAGTTGGTCTTCTCTGGGTGTGTAGTCATGTGTTTATTCAGAGGCTGAGGCAGGAGGTACGAGTGGCAGGACCTGCTCAGCTGCCTGTCTAGAAACTCAGCCTCCACAGGGCTCTGTCCACTGCTTTCCTCTCTGATCTAGAGTGAGAGAGTCAGTAGCCATGTACCCCCACAGCAGCCTCCTGACCTGCTTAAACCATGAACCGACCATCCTATTGTCCAACTCAGCATACCTGTTCTACTTGTCTGAAGACACGCAGTAGATTTTCTCGAAGTACACCTTGAAGCTCTTCCTCACTCCAACCCCGTCTCAACAACTCTTCTATCAGCACTGGATATGTGGATACATCCTCCAGCCCCTGAGGAAACCTGTGTAGCCACCTACCAGTTAGCTGTGGGACCTTGGTTTCAATCCTGGTCTAGGACCTGGAGTCCTACCAGCCCTAGTCACAAATGACTAAAACTGAAGGTTAAGTTCTTCCAGCTTGTGAATGCAACTTTGGAAGTGCCTTCAAGACTGGAGTTCTGAAGCCCTAGCGGCCAAGCAGATGGTCAGCCCACAGTGGTCTGCTGGGGGAGTACTTAACAAGTGTGACCACCCGAAATGGGTCCACTGGGCCACAGGAAGGACAGGGCCAACCTAGAAAACAGGTCCTGGATGTGGAATTAAGTCTAAAGGACCCCCTTCTGTACCCCAGCCCAGGCCAAGTCCAGGGGAAGAACTCACCGGCCAGACCCATCATAATTTCCGCCAATCCCAACGAACTCAGACCCAATGACTTTCCTGATGTGGTCAAAGTGATCTAGAAGGTGAAGGTTTATGATGGGCAGTTTCGGCTGGAGTTGGAACCTGGGACCAGCCCTGATCTGAGGAAGCTTTGACTCTGTCCACAGAATTCCAGATCATGGCAGCTGACCTCATAGAGCTCAGGGTCAGTCGTAAGTCCTGGAGTGGCTACAGACAAAACACTAGGCCTGGAGCAGACCTGAGAGCCACCACTTTGAACTTCTTCCTACCTCTGGGTTCCTTGAGAACCCAGTAGGAGCTCTGCCTGTCCTGCTCAGAGATGTGGGAAATGAGAGAGAATTGAGAGTAAAAGTGAGGCTCAAGCAGAGATATCAAACCCAACGGCACTGACTGGGGAGATGAGTTTGCTGCCTCTGGGTTGTTGAAAGGTCTGCCATTGCCCAACATGTGCTAGACTGCTGGATCTTTCCTGAGACCCCACAACCACAGTCCAAGCCAGAGTTGCACAGAGTAGAGCTCACCTGCAACGGTAGACACGTTAGCTAACAGGTTGCACTGTAGCACCCCCATGGACAGAGTTACCATCACGATGCCACCATTCTTCTTCTATAGGGATAGACAAAGGCACACTTAGTTCAGCCCATCTGGCCTGATGGCACACTTCCCATGCTGTGAAGGCCCTGGTAGGTCAGTACTCTGTCCTAGCTTCAGGAGTTGGCAGGTACTTCCCCTTTCTGGCTTTGTGGGTCTCTGGGTGTAACTGATTTGGCCTTGGGTTTCAGAGATGAAGGAGGGTTAACCACCTTTGGGTACAAGGGTATGTGAGACCTGGGCCAACAGCTTTTTTTTTGTTCAGGATCAAGAATCTTTAGATGAAACATTCCTTTTGATGAAGCTCTGGGTGTGAGGGCTGGGTGGGCACTCACCAGAAGCTGCAGTATATCATCAGCAACATTTAGCAAATTGTCGCATACAGTCCTGGTGGCTGAGTGGGAGAAGATCACGGGAGCCCTTGACACCTCCAGGGTCCGCCTCACCAAGGTGTCCGAGGCGTAGGACAAGTCTATCATCATGCCTAAGCGGTTCATTTCCTCTACCACTTTCTGCAGGGACAATTGGGTTTGGGGGAGAGAAGGATGGGGTGTCGGGTGCAGAGGTGTGTATACAAATCAGTAGGGAAGGTAGGATAGGGTATGGAACAAGAGTCCTCACCTCACCAAAGCTTGTCAACCCACTGACGTTGGTGTAGAAGTGGTATCTGAACTTGGTGGAACTCTCTGCCCTGTAGGACAGCCAGGGGAGAACAATCTGGCTGGTCATACCTTGGACATCAGAATGGATGCCTTCTGTCTATCCATCCATCCTACCTCCAGAACAAGTGAAGACCCAGGACCTGCTGGGAGTATAGCCTTCCTCTGTGGACCACTTTATCCTCACATCTGGTCAGGCCCATCCCAGTAATGAAGCAGTTTTCCCTCCCTAATCAAGCAGAGTGCTCACCAAGGTGTACTGCAAATGAAGGTGAGAGTCAGGTAGCGAACTCCCAGCAGATAGAAAGTGCGCAATACAGAAAGGCTGCTGTCCAGTGAGTGGCCACCCTCCACACCAATAAGGCAAGCCAGTTTTTTAGTGTTGTTCAGACCTAGAAAAGGATGGAGAGTCAAGTGCTCAGAGCCCAGGGACAATCACTGGAATAATCCCTGGACTATCCCTCCATCTACCAGCCCACCTTCAGCTGAGGTCACAAGTTCCAGTTCAGAATAGGAGTCACACATGCGGCGAATGACATCAATCTGCTCCAGGGAATGGCGTATGGCATCCCGGTCCTGGGTCTGGCATGGGATGTAGGCTGACCAGAACTAGTGCAGTGGGTATAGAATGAGCCCAGGATGGTCTCCATTGCCCTAGGCCTGCCTCAGTCCCCTCCCCACAGCACCCGTTTGGGTTTGTGACCCCAAGTGAGGCACCACATGACCCCATGGTACTTTGATGACTAACTAATAAGCTTTCTGCCAATGACTAAATTGGACTCATGACACATCATGGACTAATTCCCATGTATGCAAATTACCCAGGCCAATTAACCATCCTTTATGACTCCAGCAATCCCCACGCTCACCAGGGATTTTCTGGTCATTTCCAACCTATCTCCAAAGAATCCAGGCACCCATGCAGCTTATCTGTCTTGGTCTCTACACTCTCTAACATTCATCTTATGGCTCACTGCATGCCTATGTACCTAGTCACCCAAAATCTGCCCCCACCCCCAGGTTTCTCTAATCCCAACATTCTCCAGCAGCCATGCTGGTACTGTGTGTGTGTCCCTATGGTACCTGAGCTCCCACAAAGCCTTCTCTAAGCCTGTCCAGGCTGGTCTGGCCACGGCTGAAATTGTGCAGATTCACATCTTGCAGCCTGTTCTGGAAAAGCTGTCTCAGGAGCAGAGGTAGGTCATTGTGGCTAGTAGGGTCAAAAGGAGATCAGAATGGGGCTGGGGTTGTGGCTCAGTGGTAGAGTGCTTGCCTAGCACGTGGGAAGCCCTGGGTTCCATCCTCAGCACCACATAAAAATAAATGAATAAGGGTAATGTGTCCAACTACAACTAAAAAAATATATATTAATTAATTAATAAAAAAAAAAGGAGATCAGAATGGGGACATGGCCTCCTGGTCAAGCAGGACATAGCAACATGCTTGTGCCTACCTTTCCTCACCACCCCCAAGCTCCATCACACATACAATATGGAGACCCCTGAGGTCTGACTGGAGAGAGTAATGGGGTAATAGGGTAGAGGACACCCACCCCAATGGAGAAAGGCTGAGAGACCCTCCAGGGGTGGTGTGAGAGGGACTGCTCCCTAGCCCTGCATGCTCAGAACCTACCCTGCCTAGGGGTGTGCTCAGCCCCTAGTCTTTCCCAGGAAGTCACCTACATACCCATCCACAAGCCGGAAGTCACTCATCAGGGTCCTAGCCCGCTCTCGTAGGCCCGGGACACGGGGGGTGCCCGGTGTGGGTGGGGAGACAGGGGTGCCTGGAGGGGTTGGGGCACTGGGAGTGCCCGAGGCGGTTGAGGCATTGGGGGTGCCCAGCGTGGTCTGGGAGTGGGTTAATGGCTGCGGAGGCAGCAGAAGCAGAAAGAGCAGGAACGGCAGACATAGCAGAGCCCGCGGGTGGGGCGCCCAGGGACCTTCCAGGCCAAGGGGGAACATGATCCGCGGAATGGTGTGTGTGGGGGGGGAGGCGTGATGAACGAGATGCCTGGGAGGGGCGAGTGAAGGGCAGGGGGCACAGACGGAGTACCGACCGTACATTCAGGTGGATGCAGCCTCGTTTGGAGGTCGCTACGCTGGCACCCACGTGCTGGGATCCTTTGTGCTGCGAAGCGGAGTCGCCAGGGGGCACCGCAGTGCTCTCTCCCCAACTAGGAGGGCGCCCCCCTGGGCCTGGAGGGCTTCCTCTATCGATACGGGAACTGGGTAAGGACCCAGGAATCGGCCTAATTTCAACTCTAGCCAGAGCCACCTTGGGGTTCAGCTGCCAGGTTGTGCCTTGTCCTTGAGGGTCAAACATTCCATGAAATTCTATGCTACTGCTCAGAAAAGTGAACTGGATCTGTATGGTGTTTGTTTTGCAGTACTAGGGACTGAACCCAAGGCCTCACGATGCTGGTCTTCATCACTGAGTTACATACATCCCTAGTCCTGGATCTGTATGTTTTCACTGTATTCTCTACAGACTGTAAAAATAAAAATGAAGCTGGGTGCGGTGGCAGGTGTAATCCCAGAGGCTCGGGAGGCTGAGGTAGGAGGATAAGGAGTTCAAAGCCAGCCTCAGCAACATGTTGAGTCCCTGTCTCTAAATAAAATATATAGAAAGGGACTGGGGATGTGGTTCAGTGATTAAGCAGCCCTGGGCTCAATTCCGGTAATAAATAAATAAATAAACAAACAAACAAACAAACGATTTTTATGGGAGACCATGTTATTGTAGCCTTTAGAGTTGAATTTTGTTTCTGTACAAAACATTCTTCTGTGTAAACTCAGGGGTGGGCTACCAGTGAGCTACATCCCCAGCCCTTTTAAATTTTGTTTTCAATAGGATCTTGCTAAATTACCATGCACTGGCCTGGAACTTGAAGTCTTCCTGCTTTAGCCTCCTAGTAGCTGGGATTATGGACACGCATCATGTACCAGTGTATTTTTCTTTTTCTTTTTTTTTTCTTGGCATTGTGGATTTTATTTAGAGACAGGGTCTCACTGAGTTGCTTAGCGCCTTGTCATTGCTGAGGCTGGCTTTGAATTTGTGATTCTCTTGTCTCAGCCTCTGGAGTGCTGGGATTACAGGTGTGTGCCACTACGCCTGGCTTCCTTCATTTTTTGAAGAATATTTTTACATAGAATTGAACATTAATAATTTCTTTCATTCTCTGTGTTAAAGATAGTTTACTTTGTGTGGGCTTCCATTATTTCTGTTGCAAATTCAGCAATCAAGGTTTTATTTGTTTTTTTGCAGTATTGTGGATTGAACCCATGCATGCTAGGCAAGTGCTCCATCACTGAGCTATATTCCCAGTCACTTTTATTTTTGCTTCTCAAGTTAATGTGATTTTTTTTTAAATACTTTTTTCTTTTTGTGTTACTGGGGATTGAACCCAGGAGCCCCTTATCACTGAGGTATATCCTCAGCCCTTTTTTATTTTTTATTTTGAGGCAGTGTCTCACTAAGTTGCTGAGACTGATCTTAAACTTGGATCCTCTTGCCTCAGCCTCTAGCATCTCCAGCATTACTGGGATTACAGGCGTGCCCTGCCATGCCCAACAAAACAAATTTTTTTTTTTTTTTGGTACTGGGGATTGAAGCCAGGGGTGCTTAACCACTGAGGCACATCCTCAACCTTTTTACATTTTATTTAGAGATAGGGTCTAACTGAGTTGCTTAGTGTCTCACTGTTGCTGAGGCTGGCTTTGAACTCACAATCCTCCTGTCAGCCTCCCAAACTGCTGGGATTACAGGCATCTGCGACCGCACCCAACCCTAGTAGAATACATTTTGACACATCATACATAAATGGAGTATAATTTCTCATTCTTCTAATTGTATATGATGTAGAATTACACCAATTGTGTAATCATACATACACATAGGATAATAATGTCTGATTCATTCTGCTATTCTTCTTACTCCCATAACTGCTCCCTTCCCTTCACTCCCCTCTGTCTAATCCAAAATACCTCTATTCTTCCCTATTCCCTCCTTATTGTGAATTAGCATCCGCATATCAGAGAAAACATCCAGCCTTTGGTTCTTTGGGATCGGCTTATTTTTCTTAGCATGATGTTCTTCAGCACCATCCATTTACCAGCAAATGCAATAATTTCATTTTTCTTTAAGGCTAAGTAATATTCCACTGTGTACATACGCCACATTTTCTATATCCATTCATCTGTTGAAGGGCACCTAGGTTGGTTCCATAGTTTAGCTATTGTGAATTGGGCTGCTCTAAACATTGATATGGCTGCATCATTGTGGTATGCTGATTTTAAGTCCTTTGGGTATAGACTGAGGAATGAGATAACTGAGTCATATGGTGGTTCCATTCCAAGTTTTCTGAGGAATCTCCATACTGCTTTCCTTAGTGGTTGCACTAGTTTGCAGTGTATGAGTATACCCTTTTCCCTACTTTCTTGCCACCATTTATTGTTGCTTGTATTCTTTTTTAAAAAAACTTTTTTTGTTGTTGATGAACCTTTACTTTTATTTACTTATATGTGGTGTTGAAAATCAAACCCAGTCCCTCACACATACTAGGCAAGAACTCTACCACTGAGCTACAACCCAGCCCTATAGTTTGTATTCTTTTTTTTTTTAGTTGTAGTTGGACACAATACCTTTATTTTATTTATTTATTTTTATGTGGTGCTGAGGATCGAACCCAGGGCCTCACACATGCGGGGCGAGTGCTCTACCGCTGAGCCACAACCCCAGCCCCTAGTTTGTATTCTTAATAATTGTCATTCTGACTGGAGTGAGATGAAATCTCAGTGTAGTTTTGATTTGCATTTCTCTAATTGCTAGACATGTTGAACATTTTTTTCATATATTTGATCAATTGTATGTCTAATTCTGTGAAGTATCTGTTCAGGTCCTCACAGTTTGATTCTGAAATGCAGTTTGAATGAATACTGCTACTAAAAATATAAATTCATATGCCTTTTGGGGGAATGTATCCATGCTTTCCTGCTGAATATATATCTGGAGCAAAATTGCTCAGTCATGAGGTCTACACAGGATACTAGCAATGGTAACTATTCTTATTACTCTCTATTATCGTCATATATTATTTACTATTAGTTGTTAGTATTAGCTTTTATTATTACAGTTGCTATTAGTTATCATTAAGGGCCTGGGGGTAAGATTCATCAGGGGGTAGATGCTAGTGCCTTTTGGAAAGGAAGTCTGTGAGGACTGGGAGCTCTGTACAAAGAGGAACAAATATCATTCATGATCCAGGCAGGTTCCCTTCTTGAGAATCTGAAGCAGAATTTCCTAAGAGATCCTCTAGGGATGGTCAGTGGATTCACATGTCGATAGAGATGAGCTACTCAGAGGAAACCTGGAATAGGGTCCACCCTCCTGAGCAAGATCTGCCCACTATCTAGTACTGAGCTCAACCCCCTCAGTCACCTCAGGCTACTACCATCAGGCATTCTTTGAGCAACTGGTGGCTGAAATGCAGGGTCCCCTAATGATCATCAGCCCGGGGAGCCTATGCCACTAGACTCTACCACCGAGGACACTCACATGCGATTCCATGTCCAAAACATTTATTTCCAAGAAATGTTTGTGCCTTCCCAAAGTGGGGGTGCTCCGGGGTATCCAAGCTGCCAGAGTAAAATCTGGCAGGACTAACTGGGTCACTAGAGCCATAGAATGAGGACTGGGAAGGTGGCAACAACTGTGAGACCTGGGACCTTGTAGGAGGAAGATTTTGAGAGTGACCACTTGCGTGATAATCTGGATGTTTGACGTGTGGGGATCTTGGTTAGTTTCTGGTCTGGAGCCAAATATTGTTTCTGACGCAGTCTTGAGAGGATGGATCGGCATGGGCTGCCCACCTGCTCATCTGGGATACTGTCCTCCAGGGGGCTTTGCCACTTGCTTTCCTCCCGTACCTAGATATGGAAGTTGGTGGTTAGCAACTCCCCCAGACCCCCCTAATACATTTCCAGAACCCTGGACCACTCCTTACCCAGCTCAGCATACCTGTTCTACTTCTCCAAAGACCCGTAGCAGATTTCCTCGAAGGACACCTTGAAGCTCTTCGTCACTCCAGCCCCGATTCAGCAATTCCTCTATCAGCAGTGGGTATGTAGACACATCCTCCAGCCCCTGAGGGAATCTGTGTGGCCACCAGCAGAAAGGCCTCAGAATCCTAGCCCTATGTGTCCTAGATCACTGCACCCCAGCTCTGATTAGATATGGGCAGTGAGGAGTTGGCAACAGTGATTTGCCCCACTCTTCATCCCTTAGAGGAATATTTGAATATTTGCCAAATCCCACTGAACTGTATGATTAAGATTTGTATGATTGGGGCTGGGGTTGTAGCTCAGTGGTAAAGCGCTTGCCTAGCATGTGTGAGGCACTGGGTTCTAGCCTCAGCACCACATAAAAATAAATAAATAAAATAAAGGTATTATGTCCATCTACAACTAAAAAATTAAAAAAAAAAAAGATCTGCATGTGTCCCTTCCATTTAAAAAGAAGAAAAACTTCCCAGAACCAGAACTGGGTAGAGAAGATGGCCAGCCCATGCGAGACCTTGCTGATAGTCCACTCAGAGGGAGTGGATTTGTGGGGGTGGGTGCATGTACTGAGTAGATGAGCTGTCTGGGAGTTTAGCCAAATATGACACTTTAGAATAGGGTCATTGGGCTGAAAACAGTCAGTGGGGTCCAGGAAGCAGACCCTGGGAATGAAGAGTGGGTAGATGTGAGGTGGGCAAGGCCTAAAGGCTATGAGGAACATGATGTGGTAGGCATAGTGACTGTAAAGGTCCCACAGAAAAGCCACTGGAAAGTACTCACTGGCTGGCACCATCATAGTCTCCACCAATCCCAATGAACTTGGATCCAATGACTGCCTTGATGTGGTCAAAGTGATCTGGGGAGATAGAGAGTCTGCAGTGTGAAGCTTCCAGGGCAGGGGTGCCCATAGAGCTAGACTCTGCTAATCCTCTTCTTGTAGTCTTTAACTTGTAGCATATAGGTTCCTGAAGGCCCTGAGATTTTATCAACTGATCCCAGCTGGCTCTAGATTGGACTTCAGGTTTTGAGTGAAGCCATTTAGGCCATTTCTCATCTAGATTCACCCTGCCTCTAGTCTCCTTGAGAACCTATTAGGTGCAC